CGAGTTTCATTAAGAACAGAACGTCGAGTTTATGGACAGAGCTAATCAACAGTTATTTTCCATAAAATCTCGAAGATCGTGGTAATTCTAAGATCTATCAAGAAGTGTTTTTTTTTTGCATCGAACGACTGATATCTTAAATTAATTTATCAAAACTTTCTTCCAAGGACTCACCCCATGAATTCTTGAATGTACGACGGATATTTGAAAGCTTTGTCGTCGATAGCATTCGGTTGAAGAACATCAGCACCAGCTCGTGCACATTCAACCAAAAACGCGTTTCCATAGTCCCAGAAATGGAGTCCTCTCTTCGCGAGTGCATCGATTGCTGCGATTTGTCGCAACAAACTGAAGCAAAAACGGTTCGTTTGATAGTTTGAGAAGAGGTAGTTTCCATTTGAATTCATTATTGAAACTGTTTTTGAATGAAACAATATTCACAGCTGGACACTCTGATGAGTTGCCTTCTACAATTATTCCTTTTCAAACGGTTATTTGAACGAATCTCTCTCCTNGGACACTCTGATGAGTTGCCTTCTACAATTATTCCTTTTCAAACGATTATGTGAACGAATCTCTCTCCTTCAAAATTATCAAAAAACTCATATAGAATATCTCCTTTTCAACAAATCAATCTTCTTTATCGTATCATGCAAACGAATACCAGCCTGATAATTCCTACTCACACACCTTTTCTGAACGAGCTGTTTGAATTGTACTGGATCGTCGACCATCATTTTGTTCGCTTCATCGAAACTAATACCGACAGGATAATACCCACCGTTGAATGGATTATGAAGTGATGTCTGATCAGATCCCAGTTCGATCGATAAATCTTCCTCTTCAACCAAACGCTCCCTGAACTCATCAAATTCTTATCATAACGTGACTTTGTTGTGTAAGATCGTGAAGTGATTTTTAATGCTACTATTTTAGTACTTCGAATATTGGTAGTTGATGCATATCCAGAGTTGGTATTTTGACATAATTTTTGTTTTGATTTTATTCTGAATCTTGTATTGTGAATATATGGATGAATTAAATTGATAAAAATATCTGAGTGGATAAAAAACTTCAAAAGGAATCGAGGTCGAGTACAACTGAATTATTTTATGTCAAGTTGCTCGGTGAATGAATGTATAAAAAATGCACTGTCGTTGTTCAAAATGTTCGTCGTTCGAGTGCGTTTAGTGAGGTGACAGACACAAAATAATGACTGCTCAGTGAACTCACCAAAGATCAACAACATTCCCTAAATATCCAATACTGATTCCGTGTTTAGTATCACGATTTTGCTTGATGAGTTTGATGACTTCATCCAGATTATCGCTGAAAACATCCAGCCACCCTTGTGCATGCCTCTTTCGAAGTGCTGTTTCACACACATGAAATTTTGAACAACATTTTAAAATTGGAATCGAAAAATTACTCTAGAATCAGAAACGTGCAGCATTTCAATACTGATAGCTATCCACCTACAATCAAATAACCACATATTAATGCACACATCCAATGAGCACTTATCAAATATGCGCAGTGATACTATCCACTGCATTTTTTGACTGAACTAAAATCAAGAAATATTCATTGCTAAAATACGACGAACTTCCGCAATAACGCCCACACATCCAGCAATATGAGCCGCCTTCGCCTGTGCTCCACTCATGCCGCCCAGTCCTGAGGTCACGAAGATTTTACCCGAAAGATTTTCCAGTCCCAGGTATTTACGACCAGCATTCATCAACGTTATCTGCAATATAGATCGGCCAATTTTACGCTATCCACAGTTCAGTCGTATCTCACCGTATCGCTCAAATTCATCTCATTTCTGAGCCCTCAAATCCGACTTGGCGTACATAATCGATACTGTTGTGTGAAAGAATTAAAATTTCTCCCTCGAATTAGTGAAGTGAAATACGTTTGAATGTCTATCTGTTGCTAACGTTAATTAATTGATAACTGTTGAACAATAGAAAACAGAACGAAACTTTACCGTGGTGCCATGAACAATGCCCTGCGGTCCAATATACGAATAACTGCCAGCAGTCATTTGTCCGAACTGTGTGACACCCATTGCAAAGAACTTATCATACAATTCTTTTGTTGAATAATTCGGTATCATCTGTAATTTCATCTGATATTTTTAATTGTTTANAACAGTAGTGAAAATTGATGTTCTTGCTCGCTATATGAGTCATTTAATGAATAAAACAAGTGAAGAAAAAGAGTAATTCAGTCGAAGATCGATAGTTTGATCGAAATTGCTGAATGAAGTTCAAAGAAACGAAATTTGCTTGAAACAAATGCGTTAAAAATGTACCATTCCGTTGGTGATGACAACGCGAGGTGCATTCGGATGTGAGGGGAATAGTCCCATTGGATGACCTGAGTATAACGCTAATGTTTGTTCTTCGTCCATTATCGACAGGTAGTATAATACTAAGCGAAACTGCAAAAAAAATCATTGAATTCATTTGCAGATGAGGCAGAAATGAAGATCTCTGCCGCTAAGAAATCATTTTGATGATGCAGTTCTGTTTTTCAAGAGCTAATATCGCTCGTTACGAACATTATTATTCATACGCACTACTTCAATCGCACATTTCATCACCACCTGGTTAGCTCGCTCATTTATGCTATTCAGTAGATATGATATAAAAGAATTCCTACGCTGAAGGAGAAACATTTACAGGCTCAGAATATCTGTCCGATTCCACCGTAATGCTCACAAACATTTACAAACAACAAAATATTTGTTCAGCAATAACCTGGATCCAGTTTGAGAATATCTGTCCATTTCCACCGTAAATAACCAACTCTTGCGGGAATTGAGCCACTTCATCATCGAGGTTATTGAGAATCATTAATATGATTGATCGAGCTTGTGCACACTTTCCAGGAATTTCACTCAACGGTGGCGCCTTAATTGATTCCTCTCATTGTTTGATTTGAATTTTATTGAAGCAGCAGCCATAGTGATGACAAACATATCATCTCGTTGCTATTATGTGCTATGTACTTCAAGTGCCGAACGAACAATAACACTGTACCTTTAATGAATAATCTGGC